AAGGCAGGCGCCAAACCGCTGCGCCACCCAGGGATCCCTACATTCACTTTTTTATCTTAGAGCTTGTCTTACGATCTCAAGGCAGTTATTTTTAAAACAAACGTAAGCCGGGCAGCCTGAGGATGCCAGAGCAGGAAGTCCATCTCAGAAATGTGTAGCTAGGGGATCCCTGGGTGGCACAGCAGTTTAGCGCCTGCCTTTGGCCCAGGGCGCGATCCTGGAGACCCGGGATCGAATCCCACATCGGGCTCCCGGTGCATGGAGCCTGCTTCTCCCTCTGCCTAGGTCTCCGCCTCTCTCTCTCTCAATGTGTGACTATCATAAATAAAAATTAAAAAAAAAAAGTGTGGCTAGAAGCAGGGGGCCCCCTTGCCACTCTGGCCACCAGAAGTGCAGACCACCTACCCCCAGCCCCATGTCCTGAATCCACTCCTTGGTCCTTTTCTGATGCATGGGCCCAGGCCCCTGGTGTTCATGGAGCTAAGGATGCTGCATACGTGTAAAGCTAAGCTGCCTGTCACAGGCTGCTTCTCTATTCCACTGGCTTCTCCATCCATGTTCTGTAATGTCCATCTTGTTTCCCACTCTGTCTCTATTTCTATTCCCTAACCTCCCCTTCAGCCTCACTCTGTGTTGGTATGTCATTGTTGAGCCACGTGGACAAGTGCATGCTTAAATTTGGAAAGCTTTACACTCTGTTTTGGGCTATGTCTGTACCATGTTTGCACATGAGTTTCTCCTCCCTCCCTTTTGAAATACTGTTAGACATTATGTTCTGTGTCCACAAAATGTATATAAGTCAGATTTGTGAACAGGAGGGCTACATATATTAAGTCTCTTTGAAAGGACTCTGCTGTTCTGCTGTAGAAATGATTTGCTCTGATGCAAATATTTGACACTTGCTTGAAGAAAACCATAATGCTTATGAAAACTTTAGACAAGAACCAGCAATCCTGAAACTCTGTCATGAAATTCTAGATGCTGCCAACTGGAAGGTCCTCTCAAAACATTTGTTTATATTTTGGAATATAAGCACTAAAGTCCAGAAAACCAAACAGTATTCCAACAGGTTGCCCCAGCAGGCTCATGCACAGTCATTTTGATTTACTTGTCTTAGGATTTGTCATGTGGGCTCTCAGGATACCAGAGAAGATTGAAAATGAGGTCAAAGGATTTGAATTTAAGTACAGTGAGAATCCTGCAAGTGATTGCTCTCCCAAGGACTGAAAAACTGGTTTATCAGGTCAATATGGAAGGAGCTAAAAATGAAGGCTGAGAAATATATATACGTAGTAGCTTCTCATCACAGTAGTTAAGATCACTAACATCTGAGAGACAATACAAGGAAGGACTTATTTAAGAAACAAAATGGCTGTGAATGTGATAGATACAACATTCTATGACATATACGCTATTATATTATCTTTAAACAGTGTCTATGTTTCAAACTGATGATGATGATGATGATGGTAATATCTTCTGTGTATGATCTTTCATCTAACACCATATATATTACTTTGCCTAGGTAATGCACCAAACGTAAAAATAAGCTCTTAGGGCCCTCATCAGTTGTTTCCTTCTAGAATACAGTTAAAGTTTTATCACTTCAAGATTGGATGTTTAAGTCAGAAAAAGGAAAGAGGACTCATCTTAAGAATTTTGCTTTTTCTTTTAAAATGCCAAAAAATGGGGGCGCTCCGAATGGCTCAGTTGAGGGCGTCCGACACTTGATTTCAACTCAGGTCTTGATCTCAGGGTTGTAAGTTTCAAGCCCTACATTAAAAAAAAAAAAAAAAGCTAAACAATGTTTAATGCCTTTGGTATTTTGAGGGCTAAGAGTTTGGTACCTAGAAACAATATTCTGAGACATCGTTCCCAGTGAACCATTGTGACGTGTGGAAATCATATTGCACAGAATCCCTTAGATGGGTACATTGCTGAGTCTCTCTTTACCTAGTACTTTAACATGTTTTGTGGGAGATTTTAATGGATTCTAGCATTAAATCTATTTATAAGGACTTGATGAACATAGCAGTGAGGTTGTTGTTTCTTTTTTTTTTTTAAACAACTAGAAAGGTCAATGGTTGCTGAAATAGGCAGTCTAATAAAGAACTATACCCAACAAGAAACAGCATTCAGCCAGAATTCACCCATCAGGAATTCACAGTCACTCCCCAGCCTTTGAGAATTGTCAACCATATCTGAGCAGTGGTGGGCTCCTACTGCCACTTGCCAGCAGAGCATCTCCATGATAGATTCTTAATACTTGGGCAAATGCTAAATCTAACATCCTTAAACCTTTGCATCCCATCTATGCCAATATTTTTGTGTATGCATGCCACTGGCTAATAATCCTCAAAACAAATGTAATGGAGTTTCATCCGATTGGGTATTATCACCAAAACCTGTGGGAACATTCCCCTGAGATGTCTAATGTTCTTCTGCAAGTAAAAGGAGGGTAGAGTTGAAGGGCAGGGAGCAGCATGGTTCAGAAGCAGTAGCAGCCAGTGCGCAAGATATGTAGCAAGTCTTCAAAAGACAACCCCAAATAAGGTGAGAAAGTTGTCTTTCTAGATCTACTTTTGAGAATAGCTCACAAGAAGTATTGTGTTTTTCAATTATGGATTACTCTTGTGAATAAATTCTGCTGTTCACTTCCTCTGAAGTGAAATAGTTAAATTGGGGCCATCGAGGATCTAGTGGGAAAGTTCTAAAAAAGGGGTGCCGCTGTGACCCTGCTGCACAATACTGGCATCTGACTGCCTTTATTCAAGAGCAAGATGATGGCTGTTAATCCTGCAGTGGTGCTTACTAAATGCAGCCATTAATAGCTCAAGAATTCATTTGTGAGCTATTTCAATCATTCATTTGCAGACATTTAGAAGGCACCTAGTCTTGGCCAGGCACTATGCTGAGCGTAGAAAGATGAATGAGACCCAGTTCTAATTCAGCCTTAGCTTTAAGACAGGATTTCCTTCTAAATGCAAACCACATTCTTCCTTCTGTTCACCTCTACCTGTGTCTTTTCATTTTTTTTTTTCAGACATGAACTGGTTATCTTTCATAATAGTGATAACACATGAAATAACTTTTTTTTAAATTAACCTTTTAATAGATCAGCAGTTGGGGGTGAAACATCATACTTTTTCAAAGCTAACATCTGATCTAAATATTAAAGTCCACGTTACAATGTATGGGGAACTAACTGTAAAACTGACTCTTAAGGGAAAAAAAAAGAAAGAAAAGCTTCAGAACATGATAACCAGAAATCTGGAATCTAAACTGAAGCCAGCAACAAATTCAAATCTCATTTGGAAGATCTTGCTGCCCATTCAGTACAAATGTGTGCTCTGGTTACCTAAAAATACCGTATTGAGAAGTTAAAACTCTAGTAAGCATGTTATTTTAAAACTCCAGCAATTGACATCTTTTATACTTTGTGGACAGACTCAGAAAAGCTTGGCTTACTTGAAGAAATGAGCTCATGCTCTGTTTTCTATAGATCTACGATTTATTTCATAATGTCACCATTAATTGATGATAAATTACACTTTATCAAAATTTTCAGCTTTTGTGCTTCAAAGGGCACTATCAAGGTAGTGAAAGACAACCTGCAGAATGGGAGGAAATATGTGCAAGTCAGATATCTATCTGATAAGGGATTTGTATCCAGAATATATAAAGAAGTCTTATAACTCAGGAACAAAAGTAATCGTATGATAGTTTATTAACTTTTAATAGTCCCCTACATATTCTGGTATATTCTTGGGGCAGATGTTTTCTTAGACATGAGGTAGGAGGACAGTTTAGGTAACAACTAATCTCCGACCAGTTCAGCACAGACCTCAGTTCATCCTGATCAGAAGGGAGTGACAGTGGCCTTGGTGGCACTCCAGGCTTTATAGCCAAGTGCCAGCAATCTTTTCTAGTCCTTTACCTATTGTCTCCTCTAAGCACACCCTGCTGTACAGTCCCAGTGGCCAGTCCTGTTGTTCCCACACACCATGGGCCTGCCTTCCTCAAGATGAGTTCAAGCCATCTAGAATCTGGGCCTGCTCACCGCTCAGCCCACCCACCCACCTGGTGTGCTTACTCCTCAATGCCCTGCTCAGTCTAACATCTTAGCTTTCTGGAAGAATTGATGGCACCGTCACCTGAGTAAGCATGTCCATGTCATAGCCTGTCTCCTTAGCTTCTGAGACCTGGCCCCCTCATAGGCAGGCATAACATCTTATTCATCTCCATGTCCTTGGTTATAGCTCAGTGCCCAGCCATGGTAGGTGTCCATACCTGTTTCACAGATGGAATTTTGGGACTGGGTGGAGCCTCAGTGGAGCCTCAATTCACCAAATGTGAATTGTGGGACTGGGTGGAGCCTCTTGGAAGAGACAGGTGGAGAGAGGTATAAGTGGCCTCAAAGTCCCTGGGAGAAAGTGTATACGGTATTTCATGGTGAGGAAGCGGAAACATTTGCTGCAAGTGCAGGCATTTTGCATTGCTGAGGGGAGGGACTGGGTGACCATGCAGGTTCCCAGACGTAGCCTTCCGTTCAGAGAAAACTACTGCAGTCATCAGCCTCTGCCATCGTGCCTGGAAGTGACTGTATTTGGGCTTGCATTTCCCGCCCCTTCACATGCTTGGGATTTAATCGTCTCACAACTGATCCTGAATCATTAGCAAGTGACCTTCCATGACTCTTAATGTACTTTCCATCTAATCAGTTTGCTGCTAGCTCACGGCCGTCAACCGCATGCCATTGGAATGACGCATCCTACTGCTAGCTGCTTTTAACCCAGTTCCATGCGAACTCAAGTCTCTCTTGTGGAAAACTAAACCCTCTATCACCTTGTGAGCCAAGTTGATAAATTGAGTTTGTTTCTTTTGTTTCTCCTTTTGGATGTACCTCCTTCCGATTTGTTTTGAATTTTTATTATGCTTGCTCTGTTTTCTTTATTGCTGTCCCTTCTCTTATTTTGTTTTCTCCATTCTTCTCATTGGAGGCAATGAGCCGTCCAGCGGCCGGAACTCCCCTCTCCCTTACCGGCCAGACAGTCGTCCTCTCACTCCAACTTATGCTCAGGCCCCTAAACATTTCCATGTTCCAGGTAGGAGCTGACACAGTCTTTGTCTGGGTGTCCTGTCACGGTGTAGATTGTAGCCCTGTGACCTGTCTCGTCTCATTCCTCACGCTCTCTTCATCGGGGTGCACACAGTCGACAAACCCTAAATTGCACGATCTGACCCAGAGGGCCATTCAGAGGTTTTGGATGTGAAATGCCAAGGATTGTATGGAAGGCTTGAGTTTTCTCAAAATTTTTTGAAGGGAGATGGGAAATAGTGAAGGAAGGAGGGTTGAGTTGCTTTGTTTTGACTAAGATTTCATTTTTACCTGTATATTAATGCCTTCTAAGATAGCACTCTGTGGTTTCGTGTCATTGATTATCACAATGGCAATCTAATTATCTTCTCATCCTAAAGATTAAACCACAGCGTCACTCAAGAGTACTTTTTTTTTTCCTGTTGGTCTCCAATATGGAGATTCTTTCTATGGACCTTTCAGAGAAGTGTAAATTTGGATCAATTGGTTGGTCTTTCTGCAATGTATAACCAACTGACTACCTTCTTAGCCCACAAAGATATCTTGCAATTTAGGCTTGGTGCTGTAAGCTTTGCTGAAGTCATAAGCATTTGCTGTCATGGTACAAATAGTAATTTCCCATCAACTACTGGAAAACTCAGAACCCATCAATATCAACACTTAGGGTCAACTCAATTTTCAAGGGCAAGATTGGCCATCAGAGGTCATGATATTTTTTTTTCCATCAGAAGTACATTTTTTGTTTCTTTTAAGCTACTGAAAGTGGTTTAATAAATTACCCATTATGTTAATATTAGGACACATATTTGGAATCTGTAATAGTTTTTTTCTTTTGCATTCCAAACTTACCTAATAAAACAGGGGAAAGTTCAGTGAGAGTCATACCACTAAGATAGAACTGCCTTTTAATATAGAGCTTCACTGAACCTTGAAAATCAGTATTGTACATTTGCAATTTTTTGCATGAAGAATGCCCCCACCAAGATACAGTGCCCAAAATCCTGGGGAAACAAACCTTTTGACATTTCCTGAGTATTTGCAGTCAAAGCAAAACTATAGCATTATCAAATGGGGTCCTGCATAAATAAATGAATAGTATTTGGCATCTCTTTTCATTTCTTTTTTTTTTTAATTTGAGCTATACAAGTTAAGAGTCTCTCAGACATTCTATCAGCACGACAGACTAGCCTTGCACATAAAAAAACTGTTTCTGTGTTTTAAAAACTATTCTTAATTATATTACATTGCTTTCCACTGTTCCACTCATTAGTTGAAAAGTAAATTGAGTCCCTGGTATCTACTGGGAGCTCAATTTCTAGACAGTAGCAATTTGGGGATCTTCCCCAAACTGGTTATGTCTTCCTCACCACTGGAGTCCCTCCACTGCTTGCATTTCTTCCTGTTTTAACCCCACCTTTAGTGAAGTGTGTATTTGCAATAAATGGCTCATGAATTAGCTACATCTCTATATATCCTAAGATGTATTACAAAGGATTCCATATCACTTGTCTGTGGTAATTCACTCATTCCTGGAACTTCTTCCAGTAACTTCAATCTTTGTAATACAAAAGTTAACCTTCTGGGTTGTTTTTGTTCAAGAGTCTTCAGTTTGGTTTGCCTCTTGGTTGATCTGTTTTTCCCACTGCTGAACCGGTTCCCATAATCATACACCTTTGCTTTTCATTTCCACAGATCAAGGGATCAACATTTACCGAAAACCACCCATCTACAAACAGCATGGTAAAACCCGCTTTCCTCCACGTAGCTTTTAAGTAGCTGCGCCGTCCAGTTGAACTCTTTGCTGTCCTCTGAAAGGCTTCCCTGCTGCTGCTTTTGAGAATCAAACTGGGGCGCCCAGCGTATTATGCCTTTATGGTTCCCTAAGATGCCAATATTGTGAGATTGGTTTTCCTAGAAAAAGAACGCTTAGCTTAGTGAGGAAGCTCATAGCCAATTTTTGAGCCCATCAGACCGTGTAGCACTGCATTCCTAGAGAATGCACAATAATTCACATTTTTTTTTTTTGGCCATCAAATAATTTAACCAGCCACTATAATTATTTGGATGAACTTCTAATTAGTTTAATTAAAACAGTGAAGGCCAGCTACCTAGAAAATTTAACTAGACCAAGCCTACATCAACTTGACTGTCCAATTCTCCAGTTCTTAAGGGGATGCAGTTGTCTGTGCCTTGCAGCGGAATGGACAGGACACACTCTGAGAGCAAGGTCCTAGCTGTGGTTCCCAGCCCTTGCCCTCAGTGGTTCTATGATATCATGAACACAGTTTCTCTGTCCCTCAGTTTTCTCATAGGCAATAACCAGTGAGTTAGGCCAGCTAGTCTCTGAAATTCCTGCAAACTAATATCCCTAAGTTGAATTTATAATTGTGTTTTCCTTTCCTGGAAATACAGAATTTTTAAACCCAGGGAATCACATTACCGTAGGTGAATCATGTTTCCCTCCACCATTATTAGGCCTCTATAAATTAGGTACCATAAATCTTTGTGAACAGAGAGAGAGCCAAGACTGGTCTTCAGGTGATTTCAGAAAATGATACACAAAATGTGTGTGGAAATTTGAAGGCTGCCTTTAAAATCTAGTAGTCCTCATTAAGGACATTAATGAGTCCTTAAGGATTAAGATGACATGAAAAGAAAGTTGAAAATGCACAAGGAAAAAGAATTTAGGCCAACGTTCTAGGGGGAAAAAAAGACAATGTACATATTGTAATGGTTTTAGAACTGTGATTTTTTTTCTCATCCTTTTTTTTTTTAAAGATTTTACACCATGTGCTTGCTTTTTTAAGTTTGTTAACATTGTTTTTGTTTGTTTTTTTATGGTTTAATGTCTTCTCACCCACTCATTAACATGTGAATGTTTACTGACTTCACCAATTCTAATGCGTAAGTACTGTTTGAAGTCATGCTTTTTTTTTCTAAATTTACGAATGAGACTCCAAGAGTTTGATTTATCAATGTAGAAACTCTTTTTATTACTAAAATTTCTAAGGCCCTGCCTCTCTAAACAAAAAGAATCAAATAATTAGGATTTAAAGAGATTGGATACTGTTAGTTATTTATTTGAAAGAGATTGGCTTTTTTTCATGAAACTACTCTGACTTAACTCGTTCTTTGTTATCATTAAGAGTAGCACAGAGTGGCACTTCCCCCAAAGGACATGGTGCCAAAGAGCAGTTCCATGTGACAGAACTAGATGGCACAACAAAACCTGGTGTCTGTGCCCAATGTGTTTGGAAAATACTAGATTTAAATAAAGTCACGCTTTTTTTTTGTAATGCAGAACGTCTCAGTCTATAATATGCAATATGCTAACTAACACGTGTTGTCCTCCTTTAAGAAGACAGTGTGATTTGTAGTGTTTTCCAAGCTGAATTTTTTTATTTTTTTCTCATGAGGTTAAAGAGTAGAAACACTACTCCATGCTTGGCCAAGACTTCACCCCTTAGGAGTATATAAGGTGACCTTGGTCAAGTCGTTTCAGGAAAACGAGACCCAGAAGGTTACTTTAAGAATGGGGAACTCGAGCTGAGGATTCAAAAAATTATTTCCAGATTTTAAAATATGTGAGCCCAGGAGGGTGGGCGGCAGGGGTGAGACGTTTTATTTAAAGTATTCTAACTGTATTTTAAAATGTGTAGTAACATCCCAGGCCAGTCTGCCAAATTAGCCAGAATCAGGGTCTGACCATTAAACCTGGTTCATTTTGTTCCAGCTCTGTGATTAGATTTGGAACTCTAAGCCAGCAACTCCTCCTCTAAGCAGAGCCTTAAGAAAGAACCCTGTGAACCAAGCCCTTACTAGTCTGGCTTTTGTTGTTTTAAAGTCGGATGACTCACTTATATGTGCAGACCCTTGAGGAAAACAAGGAGTGTTTTGCATACATACATAAATCAGCATACATAAGGCACAATGCAAAATTCCTACAAGCTGAGAGTAGAGTTTCCCATTGCCATTTCTCCTAGGACTCAAGACACGTATATAATATGTAAGGATTAGAATGAACTGGACAGATGATGGCTAAAATGAACAGACACAAATACAGACTCTTATGATTAACAACTACAATCAAATGACAGTGTCGTTTTTTTAACTCAGTTCCTTAATTTCAAGTTACTAATTCAAATTTCTAATTGCTCTCAAGGAGTTCTGTCTGATGGAACTTTCTGTGATGACAGAATGGCAATGTTATACAATTGTGCTTCCAATATGGTAGCCACTAACCACATGTGGCTACTGAGCACTTAAAATGCAGCTAGTGCAGCCAAGGAACTGCATTTTAATTTTACTCCTTTGTTGGCTTCACTTAATTTTATTAATTGAAATTTAAGTAGCCACGTATAGCTACAGCTAGCACTGGACTGCCCAATGGAACACGGTATTTCAGATGTAGGATAAAGTTTTGCTTCCAACAGAACTTAAGGAAAATGAGTTGTTGCTAGGCACCACTGAGTGGCTGGGCAGTTGATAATGGTCATAGACAGCCTTCTGGAGTTGAAACTTTTGCCAGAAAACAAGATAACTGTTTAAGTGGGTTGTAGCACCGTGGCCTTGCAGACCCATAGCTAAGCTCCCCCCGATTCCCGCCTAGATGCAGCTGCCTTGGCAGCCCAGAGCAAGTCTTCAGAAGATATCATCAAGTTTTCCAAGTTCCCAGCAGCCCAAGCTCCAGACCCCAGCGAGATACCAAAGATTGAGACGGACCACTGGCCTGGTCCCCCCTCACTGGCCGCCGTAGGTATGCAACTGCAACAGCTAAGCCACATGGACAAATTGGTAGGAGATGACAAAATGAAATGCTTCGAAGTATGCAGGAGACTGTGTCCCATCATAAAGACTTTTAAGAAAAGTATGGTGAGAGGTAGAGAAGAGTGCTAAGGTCATATTTGTGTGTGTGCAAAGTGCTTCAAAATTACAAAAACCCAATCACCAGAGCCTTGCACTAACTCACCCACTGAGAGGCAGACAGAACTGGTCTAAAACGGATGATTTGCATGGACTTTCAGAGTTATTACTGCAAAGTCAGTAACTCTCGAAACAGTTGAACCAAAGCCTCCTGCCAAGAACATTGTTCTGTATAATTAGAGTCCGGTGGGTGGACTTACTGAGTGTCTACAGAGGCATGATTTCTTTCAGTTGAGTTTGTTTTAGACTATTTCTGGTTTGTAATTACAATTCTCTTAACAACCAGTCCTAACACTGAAGCCCTGCACCTTTCTTGTGACATCATGGTCTCCTTCACTAAGAAGGGCTGTCACAGAGTCAGGGGTGCTCTGAAATACTCCTCGTGTGAAGTTATGTGATTTTTCCATCTATCATTTCCATGCATTCTGTACTAAAATGTCACATTTGAGCTGTTTCATTCTTTGCTTTGAGCCACGAATCTATGCCTCAGAACTGTGTCTGTGTTTTTGCTGTTTTGTCAGTTGTGAAATCACTTGGCCTAAAATGGGGTATTAGCAAATTTAGGAGCTAATACTGAAAATGTAGTGAGTCAGCTTTACACAGATAGAACTATCTCCTCACATTTCTATTGACAACCTATTTGAAAAAGACCTTCAATTTTCCAAATTTCCAAATTTTCTTCATTGTGCTTTTCCTCATCAAGTTATTTTCTGGAATAATTTTTATTACAAACAATCTTAGTGGATTTTAAAGCAATCTGTACTTATAGAAATACTTGAAGGAAAATCTACCTCCATGGGCTTATGATTCACAAGTATTCTCTATAGCATGATGATTTAAGACTTATCTGATTCTTGCAAACTTGTGTCTTTTTAACTGTTATTAGTAGAGATGGAAGAGAGCATTCACATTGGCATTTATGATTTTAGGACCTAAGATTCGATCATCAGCTCTCCTCTCACAGACTGTGCCCCACAGGCAGGACTCGGGGCCTTTGAGGTTCTTTCTTCGTTCAGTGATGCTGTTTAGTGGGGACATAAGCAGCTAAATTTAGAGGAAAGGGAGAGTTAACATTTTGTTGTTAAAATCATCATCACTAAGTGGTTTAAAGCTCTCGGGATTCCAAAATGAAAACAATTCTGGCCCATTAGTCAAAATGATAAAAACCGAGACGATTAGTTAAAGTTTATTTTGATTAGATTAGCAAGCTTTCCTGTTTCCTCCCACAGCCAGATTAATCCAAGCAATTTAGGAAAAACAATAATTATCTTAATTTTACAACCGTTCGGACAGACTCCTCCCTTTTACTCCCTGACTCCCCTTTTCCAAGAAGCTTAAAAGTTGTAAATGATCTGCTAGATGGGACTTTAGCTAACTTTTTAGCTGTATTGACACTATTTATTGACCCATTAGTATAAAACTCTTTTGTGACCATTTTTCCAAAGGACGAAGGGAAAGAAACGTTCAAGACTCAACCCTTAAAGGAAAAGTAAAAGCAGGCTTGTTAATGAATGTAGTAAGGGCAGAAGATAGGGTGATCATATGATGACAAGTCTATTCAGAAAAAGAGAAAACTAGATTTCAAACTTATCACAAGAGAGTGATTGCCTTACCTATTTGATGGTATGTACATGGATTTGGATTCCTCCCTGTGTGATGACTTAGCCCCAATCATAATGACACACCCACTGAGTCCTAATTGAGCAGGTCAGTTGTTAGGAGGCCAAAATTCATGACTTACTAGTTTTCACGTTGAACTGGCCCATCACACGACACCTGCCAGTTGTGCAGAGTTGGTGGTAGGCTCTTTCTCGGTGTGGTGTTCACAAACCGCTGATTTTGCCTGCCGGACAAGTTGAGCACAGGTGGATTAGTCCCTTAGGATCCCCTTGCCGTGGGGCTAATGTGAGAAGTTGTCTTTGCTGTGGAATTAGGAGCCGACATGAGACGCAGATCTAGTGGCAGAGAGGAAGATGAGGAGGAGCTTCTGAGGCGCCGGCAGCTGCAAGAAGAGCAATTAATGAAGGTTTGTCCTTAAACTACTTTGCTGTGGTCTTCAATTCAGTTCCATAGATCTGGCTTTTTGAACGGGTACCGTGGAGGGAGCCACCAAGTGAATGAGAGGCTGTCCCAACCTTCAAAGGGCTGGAAATCCAGTAGGCAAGGGAAGACAGGCCTCTAGTGACCATGAGGCAGGGCACTTAGTGGGTTCTGGAAGAGATGGCCTGGAAGCTGGAGGTCAGAGACATGGAATGTTCGAGCTTCTGTAAGGAGAGCCAGACCACATGGGGTATGTGTGTGCAGTGCACATGTCAAAAGACCCAGGTAGGGCCAAGCTGTACACCCACATGGTGCAACACCTGCCTTCCCTCATGCACGCTCTGCTAAGGGGACTCCCTTGGGATTGAGTATTTCTCCCTTAGGACTTGGACCTTGTACGTACATCTGGGCCAGGAAAGAAGGGATAAAACGGACTGCCACCAAGACGTCCTCATTATACCCTTCCCACAATGTCCTGGAAGACCAGAAGAAGGATAATCCATTATAGCCTGGGGTAGAGGGAGCCAGGACATTATGCATTCTCCCACAAATAAGGGATGATGAATCCCTTCAAGTGACATTTTCCAAATGTCATTTTAGAAATGACATCTTTGTCATATTCCAAAGATACTCAATCATAAGGGAAATATACGTGATACTAGTTATATGGAGGAAAAGGATACAAGGTCGCATTTACAGCGTGATCCCAGTTTTGTATGATATGTACAGAGAAAAATGCTGGATGGCTATAAAAATGTAAATGGTGGTTATCTCTTATGGGTTACTCTTCTTTCCTTCTAGATTTTCTAAAATCTGTGCAAATGAGCATGTATTACTCTTGTTTTCTTGTTTTTAAATCTACATTGATTTAAAATAATTACATTATTTCTTTTTAAAGGATGCTATCCCCAACCCCCCTTTGCACATCAAAAATCTGCACACAGTCATACATACCTCCTAAGGTTACCTGCTGGCATCTTGGGGAGGGCAAAGGAGGGAGGACATTCTCCTGACATGGAGCCTGGCCATGGCCTAGGGAAATGGAGTCTTGACATGAAAAAGACCAAGAGGGGTTCAAGGTCCAAAATCTGGCCTACCAAACAAACACAAACAAACAAAAATCTGGCCTATCCCTTGAGGGACCCCAGGCTCTGCCACTGTATGCATCCAGGCCACTCCATAGTCAGGAACTTCTTGCAGGACCTTCTAAAACAGAAACTGCCATTCTATGACAATAAATGTGGACTTCTCTTTCATCTTGCTTTTCTTTATGATAGCTCAACTCAGGCCTGGGGCAGTTAATATTGAAAGAGGAGATGGAGAAGGAGAGCCGAGAGAGGTCATCCCTGTCAGCCAGTCGCTATGATTCTCCCATCAACTCAGGTAAACAACAGGCCCAGCGCCTTCTCCCAGCCGAGAGCCAGCCACCACCTGCCTGGATTGTTCCAGAAGAGGCAGGGCCATTCCTGGTGGAAACTACAGAGTGTTCTATATGAGCAAAAGTGTACGAAACGTGCCGCACGTCACCTTAGCTTATAAGGATGCCAGAGTTCTTCCTTAAATGTATACTTTCTTTATGTTGGAAATGGGGGATTTATGTCTAAATCCCTTGGAGGATTTCCTGAAGGTCAATTCATCTTAGTGGGGGCAGCCCCAGTGGCTCAGCGGTTTAGCGCCACCTTCAGCCCAGGGCCTGTGTCCCTGGAGCCCACTTCGGGCTCCCTGCAGGGAGCCTGCTTCTCCCTCTGCCTGTGTCTGCCTCTCTGTGTCTCTCATGAATAAATAAATAAAATCTTAAAAAAAAAAAAAGAAATACACAATAAAGAGTAGGTTAAGAAAATAGATTTTTTTTTTAAATTCATCTTAGTGGGAATGAGCAAAAGGAAATCCTTATAGAGAACAGAATACTTTTGGAGAATTTGGAAACATGGGTTAGCTCTAATATGTGGAATACACACACACACGCGTGTGTGTGTGTGTGTGTGTGTGTGTGTGTGTATAATTAAAACTAAACATAAAGAAGAAACTCAGTCAGGAGAGGTCTAGATCAGGCAAGGAAGGAAGAAGGTACATGATCAGGATTTTCTGTCTTTATGGTTTTTACATTCTCTGCTGGGAAGGGAAGATATCTGCACATGCAGAAGTCACCACTGGTAGTATTTTACCCTGGAAAGGGTCTCATACTTTCTAAACCCATGTACTTCCAACTCCTATTACCTTATTTCCATTAGGAAGGAATTGTGATTTTTGGCTCAGGGAACTCCGTTTCACAAAAGAGGCTTCATAACAATTGATTAAATTGATTCATCCTTTCAATCTAGAACACAATATGACAACATGAATCAAGAATCTTATAGTTCATTTCATTTTGACTATTGTACTCTTTAAAAAAGAGGGAGAAAGAGAATAGAGTGCTTGTAGAGAACCTGAACAACATTTTCAAAACATTATGATTTTACATTTAGATCTTCAATAAATGAGCTGAAGACCAACAGTGTTGTTTTGGACACTTTTTTGAAGGAGATTATTTATATATTGGGCTGAAATAGTCTATCAGGTGTATTTTGCCCGGCTTATATTTGTCATAAGCCAATTCTCTCTTCACCCACAAGATTTCTTCTCCCATGTTCTGAATTGGTACATAATTTTCCCCTCTGGAAAGTTATTTAAAAATGTGTTTAGTGTTTACTACATGCAAATACTTTTGCTCAACATTGGTCCATTTATTTTTACAACATGCCAATGAAGTAGGTGATATTATTATTCCCATTTTGCAAATCAGGAGACAGGTGTAGGAAACTTAAGGAACTTTACCCAATGTCACATTATTAATAACTAGCAAAACTAAGATTGCTGAATGGAATGCCCTGCTACATACTGAGCCTACATGCCTCATTGGATCATGTGTTTGGTGGTTTATTAATCTTTAGTGTCCCTTCTGATCCTGTAGTTCCATTCTATAAGAACAGATAGCACTATATCTACATGAGTCAGGAAACAAAGACTTACAAATGTGAAGTACCATGCAGAGGTATTAAGTTATGGAGCCAGAATTCAAACCCAGATTGCCCCCCGCCCATGCTCCACAGTTTATGTAGTGCCATGATGTTGACTAATGGGACATCCTATCCCACACCTCTCAGGAACTCAACTGTGGTGGGCCAGGAGAACATGCTAACATACATGGTTGGCTTTCAGGTCAGTTATTGCTACCATACCAATTGGGGCATGAGCTTATGCATCCAAAAAACCCTGGGTTCAGATCATTGCTTAGCAATTTATAAGGTGAGTGACCTTGGGCAAGATACTTAATTTCTGTTAGCCCCTATTTCTTCTCCTGTAAAGTGGAAATAATAGTGTTATTAGGATTGTATTGAGGATTTAGAGGTAAAGCAGTCCCAAGCACCTCTTCCTTCTCCACCCATTCCCTGCATCACCCAAATATGGTGGCCTTTCGTGAACATCAGAGCCCCATATTGGGTTATTTTTTTCTATTTTTCTGTGTGTCTTCTGTAAGGTAGAAGATACATTGGCAGTTTCATTAGAGAATTAGACTTCTGGGGGCACCTGGCTGGCTCAGTTGGTAGAATGTGCGACTCTTGATCTTGGAGTTGTGAGTTTGAGCCCCACATTGGAGGTAGAGTTTACTTGGAAAAAAAGAGAAGCTATTAAGAATTGGACTTCTGATTTCCTTTTTTTACTTTTTCTCATTCAGCTGCACATGTTTTATCATCCAAAACCTCATCTCTCCCAGGCTATGGAAAAAATGGGCTTCACCGGGTAAGATTCCTCAATTAATTGTTCCTGAGGTAATTCCCCCTTTGGTCCTGGTGGAAATCTGAATATGTTTGATAATATCTCAGTGTTAGAATATAATGAAAATTGTAATCTCCCTGATGTCCTGGCAAGTCACTTTGACTTACAGGCAAAATAAAATATTTCTACTGAGAGAAAGAGAAATTGACTTTAGATGAAAGAGTAGCCTCTATAAGCTTGTGGGAAGATGACATTAATTAATTATGTGGCAAATATTTCCACAACCAAGCTAAAAGTAATGACCTGAGCCCTTATCTCTGCTGTAAAAAGGTAGGGGAAAGTTTGTTGCCATTGCCCACTGTGCAAAGCATAGAACAAATGTAATTATGCAGCTACTAGCTGTGTGGCAAAATGTATTTTTATTTATCGGCAAAAGATAACGTGCTTATTACCCAGGGCCTGCTGGCCGTGCATACGCTGCAAAAGATGAGATTTTCATGATAGAAGACAAATAAGGAAGGTCCAGGAATTCAGCTGGGAAGGATTCTGAGGATCTTGTAAACCCTTTCTTCCTTTTCACCTGACTCCAAAACCATCGCTGTGGAGTAGATGGTCTAATGATGTGTTCTTTCTCGCTTCAGCCTGTTTCCACAGACTTTGCTCAGTACAACAGCTATGGGGACGTCAGTGGGGGAGTGCGAGGTAAGGCCCGTGCGCTCGAGCTGCTGACTGGCTGGCCCAGCTTGAGACAGGGCTGTGCTGCCTGCCACACGTGCATTGCCTGGGTTCGTGCTGCCTAAAGCCGGATCGCAGCTAGCCTGTGTGAGCTAGTGGAGCGTGTGTTTAAATTGCAAAGCATCTCTCCTGAAACGAGACCATGAGAAGCAGGGTGCATGAGAATGAACTCATTGCTCCTGCCATGTGCAGAGCACTCAATTCGATAGGTATCTGGAGTTACAGTGCGCTAGACGCAGCCCTACTGTCAAAAATGCACATGATTGACTGAGAGACTGGGACAGGTCGGGGTGAGAAGAAGGCAGAAACACCCTCAGGATGTGGGGGGAAAGCTGCATGAGGAAAGGGTGTTTTAACTGATCACTTAAAGTGGGGCAGGCATTTCCTGGCTTTAGGGAGCCAGGTGGGTAGTGTGTACAGAGACCCCACCAGAAAGAAGAACATGGTGCGTTGGAGAGTGTCTGGAGAATCGCAATAGGACATGGTATATTAATATTAACAATATTAATATTAATGTTTCCATGTCTTTCTATGATCTTTCCCTTCTGATATTTTCTTTTTCTTTCCTTTCTAGACTACCAGGTATGGAACACTGTCTCTCTCCAGTTGGCCACACCAGCAAAACAGCCATTGTCCAATGCAGACATGGGTTGCTGCTACAGGGAAGGGTTTCTTTTGAGAAGATCCTTATTTGGGTTGATCGTTCTCGTTCATTAGTCCATAAGTGTGAGGAGCCATGAGGATCGGGCATGCTGGGTGCCAACATCAAGCTGGCCCTGCAGGCCTCAGGGATGTGACATCCCCCTTAGGCATCAGGGGACTCTTGCTCTGGCCTCAGAGGTCCTCTCTGGGGTAGAGGTAGACCAACATCAAGCGTCTCCTCAAATACAGCTTTTCCTTTGAGTCATAACTGCTCAGTACTTTTGGTCCTCCCCTCTTTCCTATGGTCCCAAATGAAAAGAAACTCCAATAGGTCAATAGGAAAGAGCTGCTTTGGTACCATTCCTTTTTTCCTAGACCCTAAACCTTGTAAAAATTATGATGGAGAATGAGAAAAGGAAAAAAATACAAGAAAACAAAGAGTAAAATAAAACAATTTAGTCAACAGTTACAAAGCCAAGATCCCCAATTTGATGATAAAAGAACAGTATTCCCAGTGCTTGCTTTTATGCAGCAAGGCTCTCATTTTGAAAAATTTATGGTGATTAAGACGACACATCGACAAAACAGTGAGGATTTGAGGCCTAAGCAGGGAGTTTTGGGAGGTCACCGAGTTACCCCTCAGCTCCCCATGCCACTGTGTGCTCCTCCTTAAACCAGCTTTTCTCTTGCAGACTCTCCCAGATGGCCACATGTCTGGGACAAGAATGGATCGAGGGGTGTCCATGCCCAACATGTTGGAACCAAAGGCAAGTGCAGCCATCTTCTCTGCTCTCGCATGGGGACAGCAAAGCGGGCACAACCCTGAAAAGATTTGGTTGTCTCTCTTTTCACCATGCTCAGTGTTAAGGCCCATTAGCTTCCAGACTGAGACATTACACGAGCCATGTCACAAAGTATCTGGACACCCCACTGGTTTTGTTACACGGAGTCAAGAGGCTTAAGCCCTCATGGGATATGCTGCTGTGTGTTCACAGTGAGGTACCAGCACGCCTCTCCTACGAGCTTCGTACTCCCTTGGTCCCTGCCATGAGCACCTCAAGGCATACCCAGTGCTAAGTGGGGCAGATGCAGACCACTCCAAATAGGGTGACCAAGACATCCCATTTGCCCAGGACTTGCCCAGTGTTAGCATTGAAAGTCTAGCATTCTGGAAACCTCCTCAGTCCTGGGCAAGCTGGGATGGCTGGTTACCCTAGCTCCAGACCATCCTGAAACTTCAGAGGTGTCCAAGGATGTGCTTCCTAGTGACCATAACTGGGGCTTATTTCAATGTCCTCCAACAGAACACTGTTTCTGGGTCTGCCTGGTTCCATGAAATCATGAGCCAGTCATGGAACAAGATTGTTGAACCCTGTAGAGGTACCCTGGCCATATAAACCATGTTCCTATCATTTCTCTTCTAATTTTTACCTTTACCACCAAGACATAATAAGTTTGTATTCTTTCACTCAACAAAACCCTCCAAAGGCATAGTGCTACATGAGACATGGTGAGTTGAGAAAATGTATAAGAACTGGTCCCTGTCCGCTGGATATGGAAGGATCATCCATCACTCAGATACCGTAATTATAATGTCTTAGATGCTCTATCTTGGGAGTACTAGATTTTAGGTAGATTCAGCCTGTTAATAAAACGGACAGCAGTGTTCTAAAAAAAAAACTGTTTTCTCTTTGCTCCTCAGATATTTCCATATGAAATGCTGATGGTGACCAACAGAGGGCGCAACAAAATCCTAAGAGACGTGGACAGAACCAGGCTGGAGGTAAACTGATTAACCAACCAGTCCCAACTGTAGATGCCTGTGCATTTCCCCCAACTTTCCCCTAAGAAGTGTTTCAATGAGGGCAAAAAAAAATAAAAAAGAAAGAAGAAAAAGAAAAGAATCAACCTCATATGGCAGGTAGAACTAAGATAACTTGGGATTGAAACCTGAATAATGTACACTTAAAGAGATCAGCCTAAATGTGTAGTAAAGCCCAAAAGATGAGCCAAGAGACACAGTATGATTTTAGCTGTCTTCTGGGGAAACTTGATGTTGCCGTAATTATGGCTGGGATTGTAGAATGGAATCCCCAGCCTCTTCAGATATCCCAGAGCCTGGGATGAGATCTTCGAGAGAGGGAAGGAAGTGCTCAGTAAAGAGGTTTGCCCTGGACCAGTTTCCCTCTTGGCTGTTTCCACATTGCCTGCCGAAGGGTTATCTGGGTGCACATATCCAAGACATGCAAGGCGGATCATACTTTTCCATATGAGTGATTTTAATTAAGAAAAACTCAGGCTACCAGTCTTATAAAGAATCATTACTTTCCCCTGACAAGAGGCTATACCTTTGTATGTGAAGTCAGTCTGGCACAGGGAATAAAGGCTCTACTGTCCTAAGGGAACTTTTTAGGAGGGACACTACTCTGGAAGTCTCTCTCTGGCTTTCTGACTGCTATGGCCCATTTTCCCTGCATCTCCTCAACATCCCAAGGACCTGAAATGGAACTGCCTCCAGCATAATGAATAACCTTTCTATGTCCCATCACCATGTAGTGTCTTAATCCTCTGGCAGCTCTTTTGTCTGCTGGGGAGGGTGCCTCGCCTGGGCCAACCAGGTAAGGAGTCAGTTGGTCAAGCACCTGCTAACCATTCTCAAAGGTAAACTCCTCTGCCATCATTCTACCCTGCTCTTCAAGATGATCACTTGTAGACTCCAGAGCAAGTCTCAAGGCCATCCATGTGGCCAGTAGAACTGACCACTGTTCTTTCTCCCACTACAGCGCCACCTAGCCCCAGAAGTGTTTCGGGAAATCTTTGGGATGTCCATACAGGAATTTGACAAGTTACCTCTTTGGAGACGCAACGACATGAAGAAGAAAGCGAAACTCTTCTAAGTCCCCTGCGTAGACAGCAGTTAGAAAAAGGACTGACATGGCGGTGACACATAGGATGTTGTGTTAAGGCCAAACTTGATTGGAGAATTTGCAAACTATTGTCCCTCAACAACAACAAAATGGGAAAGCCGATTAAAACACCCATAAGCGAAATATGGGGCCAGCCACCGGCAACACTTGCCAAGCAACAATGGGGTAGAAATTTCTGTGTTCCCCATACTCGACAGTAGTGTTCACACGTGACCTTTTTACATCACCTTATGTACACAACAGGAGCTACTTCCTTCATTTCCTTTAACTGTTGTCTAACAATAGTGTTGACTGTATGGGTAAGAGCCAGCAAGTGCCCTTAGGATGCCGCATGGAAAAAAGCAGTTGTAATAATTCCAAAGTGGGAATCTATTTATTGTAGCACCGTGGCTAAGAAGGAAGAGCCTGAGGGACATATCCATGTGGTCACACCACTTTGCACACCCCTGTCCTCACTGGCCTCATGAAGCCCGGCACGATGGGAATCAGAGTCCGGGATCTGGGCGGCTCTGTGTAAGTGGGCTGATTAGCAGCCAAAGTCATTTTTAACATGCTCCTTTTTCTCTACTCTTTGCTAGGACCTGGTTGGCAAATTACTTAGCTGTTATTAAAAAAAAAAATTAAGAGAAAGAGAGGGGAAAGGAACAAAAGGAATATCTCCCTGAATTCTTTTTCTGCTTCGGACAGTACGCTTCATTCTGCCTCCCCAGCAAGGATAGGAGCTGTGAAAGAAAGGAAAGGGAGAAATTATCTCCAGTTGTGTGCTTTTAGATGATTTTTGCCCCTAGGGCCACAGTACTCTTAGCAAAAAAAAAAAAGAAAGAAAGAAAGAAAGAAAGAAAGAAAGAAAGAAAGAAAGAAAGAAAGAAAGAAGAAAGAAAGAAAGAAAGAAAGAAAGAAAGAAAGAAAGAAAGAAAGAAAGAAAGAAGGAAGGAAAAGAAAATTCTGTGTCCCGCCAATGCAAGTTCTTCCTCCCTGCATCCTCTGCTCCTCATCCAGCATCCTCTGCATCTGATCCAGCCCACATGGATTTTGGATTTTTTTTTTTTTTTGAGGTCTCTTCAGTAGTAGGCTAAGGAAAGGCACGCTTTTCTTTTTGAAATCTCTGCAACCCCAAGGTCTGTTGCCTTAGATTGATTTAATTTGGCCTTTTCAGCTTTCCTTCTTGCCTAGCTTTGTTGACTTCATGGTGCGTATGTGTGTGTGTGTGCGCGCGCGCGTGTGTGTGTATGTGTGTGTAAGTGAATGCACCCAGAGTAGTTTGGGGAGTCTGCATGTTCTTTTAACATTTCATCCCTGCTTGAATGTTTGTCCGGCTGGGCTGCAGCTTCTAAGGAACATTTGCACACGTGCGCATGACTCAGAGGTCGGGATTGAGGCCAAACTGCACCCCACAGGGCATCCTTCATGGAAGGGTGTCAGTGTCAGAAGCCAGCATGCTCCATGATTCATGAAGCTCAGGTCAGCAGCACAGTGAAGAGCCCGGACCTCACATCAGGCTATATGTGGACATCAGAGCAACACACCAGAGTGTGCAGATTCAGCAACACAAGATTCATAGTGGAGCCTAGGATTACACCAAAACTCACATGTAAGACCCCATCATGATTCCTGGAAGCCTCTGGCTGCGACTCACGTGAGTTAGGAGGCGGACAAGGAAGGGTGTCTCCAGCTCCACCCGTGGACAGTTTTCACGTTTATTCTTGTGCTCTGGGGGCTCTGCCTAGGAATTTAAATTCCATTTTAAAGCCAAAGGAGAAATCATTCGAATTCTCTTCATATGCCACTACTAATAAAAGCTCAGAAATTCTTCCTGCTGCCACCGGATTCGGATTCGGATTAGTTAGTAGCTGATCTTGGTGGTAAAAAACAAGTAAAAATAGTGTCAGAACCTGTGCTGCAGACCTCTACCTTGGGACACACTCCATCAACTGGGTGCTGTACTGAGCTCTGTAATTGCTTTCAAGCGCTCTTCTGTCCCTTCAGTGCTAGACACTGAATGTCTGAGGACTGTTCTCACAAATAGGAGCATGCACGTGTGTGTGTGTGTGTGTGTGTGTGTGTGTGTGTGTGTGTGTGTGTGTTGGACCTACTAACATATTTTGTAAATGATTCTGATGGGGCAAACGTGAGATGACCAGCTCCTCCTCCGTTTGAAGGCCCCAGATTGCAACTTGCTATTTGGTGCCTTCCATGGCCTTTTGCTCTAATTCAATATTTCGGCTGTCCCATCTTCTCTCTGACATCTCTGGCATCAGCAGCCTTGGTGCAGTGCCTGTGTATCCCAGTCCTTGCTTTGCTCTGGCAAAGTATGAGGAGTGGGGACCACAGTATATTCCCATAATCAATAATGAGGATGGCAGATGGGTCCCAGTGCTAGGCTGGTGGGGAGAATTTTTTCATTATGGGGATAATAAAAGATCCTCAGTGTTTTCATTGGTTAATTATGACCTATGGAAAAAAAAAGAAAAAAATAATTATGACCTATGCACATGCAGAGCAAATGTCAGTGTGAGAAAAACTGCAATGACAGTTAAAGTTCTGAACCCAAAGTCTGCTCCCACCAATGAAACTCTGTTTCTTATATCTTTAGAATTCAGTTCTCCATCCAACTTGGGGGGTGGAGGAGCTTCTTCCTATATCAAGTGTAATAGCTAATTTAAACTATACCGTGCAAAAATGCATTACCAGGAAATGTCAGTAGTGTCCTGTCTGCAAGCAGAGTAGTGCTGTGCTCTGGGGAGGGTCATGGGAAAACAATGTTGGAGTGGCTTCCCCGACTCCAGTCCCAGCAGAAGGCTCCAGCTGGAGGGATGGGTCATGAGGCAACTGGTTCTCCTAACTGCCAAATCTAATACATGGGCTACAATGACCTATCCATTTTTGTTCTCAACTGGGCTCAGCATGCTTGTCCTCAAAATGTCTAGGCCACCGTACAGGAGATCCGTGTTCTCTGCTTGAACCCCAGTCTGCACTGCACATAGAAATTCCAGTTGTTAACACAGTCAAATGAACAGGGCTTATTCACGCTGGGGAAGGACTTCAAGACATGGCACATTTTCCTGGTATATACCCAAAGGGCTACATTTTTGAGCGTTGGGCTTATTTGTGTTTCCTTAAGCACACACAACAACTGCATGAAGCAAAAGAGGCCTCTGACAACGTGGAAGTCAGTGCGCTCCCTTTAAATTTTTTTTTTCCGTAAGAGCCAGGATATCATTTATTCTTCCCGTGTGATTTAAGATGAGACATAAAGAGCATTTGGGAACTCGTACAGCCAGCTATGCATCTACATTTCAGTTTGGGTTAGTTATGAAATGTTCTTAATGTGACTCCTTCAATAACTAAAGATAAACTGCCTGTTCTCTGAAACCTCAAACAGAAAAGCCAGGGTTAATGAGTAATACGGTGCACACTCCCACTGCAACTTTCATCCTCTCAATCTGGTGATGTCCATCAACTCTACTTAGAGAAGTCTTGTTGGAAATGTTTATAAAACTTTCACCTAATTTCTTTACACTTTAAAGCAAACACCTTTTTCTAAAGAATTGCTTCTCAGATGATCATATAAAATATTTATGCTTTTGCAAGTTAAAAAAAAAGAAATTAACCACTTTTGACTAGGTAGGTCTTTCTAAAAATTATTTCAAAAAGCTTGATGTTAGCGTTCTGCGCATTGAAGGGGCAGGCAGGCCCTCTCTCTGTCAGGAAAGATAGTGGAACAAAATGAACTCCATGTAATCTCCCCTCTGTGACCTCTGAGGCAAGCTCAGTTTTTATAAATCACATCTTCTGTATTACCGGGCACTGTTTAATCTACCCTCCCTAGGCCAGCCTTGACTTGACTTGATCTTTAAAATTTTCTTTTGACAAACCGTTTGTGAGTAAACCCTACAACTCATTCATTAGTGTACCCTTTTGAAGAATGTTCTATTCAGAAAAAGAGATTACTTCAGGCTTGAGATCTGCTGTGACACCACCTTATAGTGATAATGTACATTAAGGAAACTAGCCAATGATGTTGTAATGAAAGAAAGAGAAATTTTTACTCCGGCTTTAAAAACAAAAAAAATCACTCTTTCCATTTGCTGCCCAGGAAGCCATGAAGAGATAGTGATTGATACACTTTGCATATGGATTTTTGCGTTTTTATTTGGGTGAGTTTAATTTATGGCAAACTCAAAAAGAAGGGGGAAGTGGTCAGGTTAAGTTGAAAGAAACTTTCTAAACAATATATTGTAAACCCAGCAAAATTAAACAAATCCAGTATTTTCTGATGGTTGGTGTAATCGACTGGCAATGGTTATCATTAAATAAAATTCTTCCCAAAAGTGTCTTTCTCAAGAGTGAAGATCCCATGAGCCACTTTCTGAACCCGTTCACCAAAGGTAGCAGGAGACAATACTACATCCACTACCATTCAGAAAGCCACTTAGTGATTGTATATGCCTATGTTTCCTTATCCCATGGAAGAAAAAAAACAATTGTCCACAATATTGATGTTCCTCTTGGGTTCTGTGTACAGACCCGTCCAATAATAAATGTGTGTGGTTTCTGTGAGTTGCCGACGATCCTGCATCATATCTCTTTGGAGTCCTTTCATTTTAAGTTCAATTTAATGGAATTTTTTTGCAAGTGTCAGAAAACATACAGTTAGTTCTTCCTTCCCTCCCCTTTCAAAAATATGAAAGTGAATATTTGGAAGAACTGCTGTGTTAAAGATGTGTTGTGTCCCCCCGTGAAAGTGAGTGGGTGTCCGTCCATGCCCTGAATACCACGGACTAGTGTGCAGAGGCAGGGGCAGCCAGCTGGCCCCGCGTTGCTGTGCGTTTTGGTCCTGACCTGCTCCACGCTCCTGTTGCAAGCAGCACTCGCCGCTCCCCCGCCCTGTCCTCTGCGTCACTGCTGTACACTCACCACTCAGTGAATAAAGTTGTGTGCTTTATTCTATTCATTTAACGCCTCCACGCCGTGTTTCCTTTCTCACCCTCCTGCTTCCTTTAAAGGTCTCTCCCATTTGAAGAAGTACAGTCCGACTTTCAATGACCAGAACACAATCAAAGGATCAAACCAAAGCCTTAGGAATGCATTTTGATCACACAGGAGGGCCCTGTAGAGAGGGAAATGCAACAAATAGCAATGGTATATTCCGGGACTGTGTGTCCAGTCATCCAGACCATACTGACCGAGTTGACTAAAGGGAAAAGAAGGCATGAGCAGAGGTGAGGTGGGGAGAGGGAGAGACAACCTCAGCAGACTCCCCACTGAGCGAAGAGCCCATCACAGAGCTCAATCTCAGGACGCTGAAATTGTGACCTGAGCCAAAATCAATCATCAGAGGCCCAACCCACTGAGCTACCCAGGCACCCCTAAAAGAATATTTAAAAGAACTGTTGGGGTGTCCTGGTCTACCTGGTGTTTGGTTTTGTGACACAGAGCAGTGAGAGTCTCATCATCTGGACAAGAAGGGGGAATTGAGGAAGTTGGAGGACAATTGAGGAACTTTGAGGACTAGAGCTTCTGAACCACCGTGAGCATGGGCCATTTACTAAGTCGCTGCAGTGCAATGGTAGAAAGATGTCTTTCAAAGCTTTGACCTCCCCTGTGTTATCAGACTTTAAGGGAAGACGGTCTTCTAGATTTTGGATTTACATGTTATTCTCACTGCCACAGTTTGGGGACTGCTAGAAAATACAAGGATGTGTTTAGATTTGAGATGACCTATTCTGACCACAGCCATTCTGCTGCGTGTCTATCAAAATTGTCTTAGTTCAGGCTGCTGGTAACAGAGTTCTGAGATTGGGTGGCTGGAACAGCAAATGTTCATTTCTCATGGTTCTGAATGCTGGGCAATCTAAGACCAAGGTGTTGGCAGATCTGGTGTCTGGTGAGAATGTTCTTAGGTTTGTAGATAGTCGTCTTCTATTTGTGTCCTCTCATGGCAGAGAGAGAAAGCTCTTCTTTTATAAGGTTGCTAATCCCATCATGAGGGCTCCATCCTCAAAATCTAATTAGCAAAGTCCTTGCCTCCTAACGCAATCCCATTGGGGATTAGGATTTCAACGTATAAACTTGGGGGGGCGGTGGGACGCAAAGATGCAATCCACAACACCTGTCCAGGGGCAAGTCATAGTAGCAATCATGTGGACCCCTCATTACAAAGGCAGAAACTGAGATTGTGCTCCAGACAGTTGGCACGTTTAGGTTGCTAGCGTAGAAAACAGGTCACAAGGCCCAGTGAGAGGCCTCCACTTGCATCACCTCTGGGCTGGTTACCGTAGTCAGCGTGGACCTTCAGCCCTTATCTTGAGCTCTCTGTGATTTTTGCCACTGTGATCACCATTTTATTGAAGGTTGACTCCTTGTGTCACTTCAGTGGTTAGCCCCGACACACAGCCAAGTCCTGGCCTGGCCTATGGCTGGCAGTCCTGGGCCTCTCATGATGGCCCTCGCCTCACCCACTGTTTCCCCTCCCACAATGCCCCACCTTCGAATCTTGCCCTCCAGCTCTCCCAAACCACTGCAAGTTTCCAGAACACACCATGCCCTCTCCCACCTCTGTAGCTTTGACAATGGCATTTCTCCTGTACAATGTCCAATTCTTCAAGGAGGTGTAGAGCGGGAGGATCTGGCCCCAGGGACAGGAGGTAATGGCAACATTGACTACTTGAAATCGGTCATCCATAGCTCTTTGGAGTTACCCATGTGAATTTCCCAAGGGCTCCATTTGCCCTAAATCAAAGACAAGCCTGAGTTCACACCCTCCCTAAGAGCCTGCCTTGAAGGGCCCAACCCAACCTGCCACAGAAAATTCTTTGCACGCCTATGGTTGAACATCACGTGTGACACTTTTCAAACATTGCCTAGTACTGCTAGCTTTGCCTGTGTTTCTGCTCCTCTGTTGAACTGCAGTGAGGTCTCTTTTGAGTGCCAGACTTTATGTTAACCATATTTCTCATGACAGCCCTATAAGACAGGTAACTGTAGCTGTGCTATATACAGGTGAAGAAACCAAAGCTCAGAAGCTAATGAAATGTGCCCGATCATCACCCAGTAAGCCATAGAACTGAGGCCTATCTTCAAATCCTATACTGTTTTTCCTCTGCGTCTCCATGACCTTCCAGGGGCAAGGATTGCATATCCCACATTCTCAGTCTCCCAGGGTGCATTGCATAGAGGAGATTCTCTGTGTGAGACTGGCCAGTTCCCTTCACTAGGCCATGAGCCCCATCACTGCTGCCATTGTGCTGTTATGAGCAAGCTTGAGGGGATTCTCACTAGCTCTAAGTCTTAGGGCCAATTATTTCACCCCCAGGCCTCAACTTTTCATCTGCAAAATGGACAAAATAATAATACCCATCAGAATACTGCTGCTACATTATAACTGTTGAGCACCGCACAGCACCCAGAACATAGTAATTGCTCAAGAAACAGCAATCTTTATTAAGAGTAAATAGCTGCTTAGACCTGAAGAACTCCATCTACTTTGAGTCTCAGTCTCCTCCTCAGTAAATTAGGAAGGAATACCTGCATCTGGCTACATCCTGGGGTTGTTAGGCCAAATGAAGCAAGGTACTCAGACATGGGAAAGCATTACATTAATAGGTGGTATTGGGTAATGAGGGTTTCCTGGTCCTACTTTAAATAGTTAAATCATTCAAGAATTTTAGTTTTTGTTCTGAGCTTTTTCTCAGTCTTTTATAAGTACTGCAGCATGAAAGCAAGCCCACAATTTCTTTTATATGCTTCAACAACAGCCCGCTCTTTGTCCAATAATACTCTAGGATTGAGATCCTCTGAAGATGTGCCAGTGAATAGTAAAAACAGAAAGTATTAAACAGCAGTTGAGTGCAGGCTATGGGGTCAAACTGTCTGGGTTTGAGTTCCAGCTTCACCAATAATTAGCTATGTAACTACTGACAATTTGCATTACCTTCTCTAAGCCTCAATTTTCATTTTTATAAAATAGGAGTAATAACAGCTACCTCAAAGAGTTGTTGTGAGCCTCCTATAGAACAGGACCTGACATAATGCAAGATGAACACTCAAGCATAAGCTTTTATTTAAAAAAGTCGCTGCCGTATAATAAGGACCTATATTTTCCCAGCCCTGAGCTAAGCGTATCATGTGGTTGATTCCATATAGCTTTTACATTACCCCTCCACCTGCACCCCCCAACTCCCCAATTTCAAGTTACAGCATGTAGGCAACTGTCATGCAGAGAAGGGCTCAGGTGCCCCCACAGGTGCTGGGTCCAGCCAAAGTGGCAGGCTGCTCAAAATAGAAGCATCCAAAGGGGTCAGCTCTGGGCTCCGCTCTCCCCAAGGGGTTTCGAAGCTGTTAGGCCCCAATATTTCCTGGGTCAGGAGGATTTCCCTAAGCCACATGAGGAATGCTAAGAAACACCACCTGTGGAAGAACTGAGACTCATTTTCATGAAAGATGACTTTGCTTGGAGAAAAGATCTTTCTAACTATATTACTTCACAACAACCAAGGCAGCAAAGGCTGAGCTGCCCGTCCTTACAGTATTTGGGCACATTTCCTTGGCTCCAGAAAGCCACCAGTCCTACTCATTCCCTCCTGCTCATCACGGGAAGAGGGGTCCCCCTCCCCGCGGGCCAGCTTTGCCTGGGTGTGTCACCAGCCCTGCCCTGTTGGACGTGCTCATTGTTGGCCGGAAAGCCCTAGGAAGGGTGGGGACTTGGTGCTGGCAGCTTTTGAGAAAGCCCAGGGTGGTCAGAGGACAAGTGCCCAAAACTTCTGGGAATCCCAACCCTGTCCTTGAGAACCTGCCTCCACACCCTAAATTTCCTTCCCCACCCCCCACGCCCCGCCCACAGTAGGCCAGGACTCTGACAAAAAGTCAGGGTCTTCCCCCTTCCACTCCTAGAGCCCTCAGGGGTGGGCTGTAGAGTCAGGCTCTGGAGGAAGGGGGTAATATGTCCACATTGAGTTTACTTTCTAATCTCAACTGGATAAAACTGCTCTCTGAGCCCGCCATTGCCATTGTACTAAGTACAATGGCAGCCCCTAGAGAGGATTTTCCGTATTTACTTGTGCTGTACCCCTGCAGCTGTCTTTTAACTCAGCCCTTCCCCTCAGATAAAAAGAAAAGTTGGCTTAGGAAAACCTCTACTCCAAAGCAGAAGCAGTTTCTGCTTTGCCCTTAGCATGCTTCAGTGGTAGAACCTCCCAGAACATCCCTAAGGGCCTGGAGGCAGGGCAAAGCCTTGGGCGGCTTCCAGACACAGAGAGTTTGGGAATCTGGCTCCAGGGTACAGGAGTCCAGATGATAAGGAAGGGGTGGGTGGTGGCAGCAGCAGACATTTGGTGAGGGCCTCTGGAACGCCAGGCATTGGGCTCTGTACTTTGTGTAGATTATTTCACTTCATCTGTGAAGGGTAAACCCAGGGCTGGGTCAGGTTCCAACCCATCAAGTCCAGAAGCCACATTCCTCCAAAGGCTGCCACAGCTCTCTGGGGTCTCCCTGTGATCACGTGGTTTTCTCATGATTTGCCAAAAGGACCATCTTTGCAAAGACAAATACCAGCTTCTCTCGGCAAGGTGGAGCCTGGCCATGAATAACAACACTTTGTTCTAAACTGGACAGATGTTGGCACAGAAAGAGTAGGTCCTTTCGTTCCTACTTTTGTGTTGGAACATACCTCTCGTAATGAAAGCTAGAAAATATTCATGGTGGTTACTTCCCATCAGATAGGAGCAAAACTCAAGTGGATTCTCCTGGGGTTGTTTTTTTTTTTTTCCTTATTTGTTTGAGTAGAATAATTACTTCTGTCCTCCCCATAAAAACAAAGTGTTTTGGACAACTGAGAGTAAATTGCTAATATTTAGTCATCGTTAATCAAATAACTTCCACCAAATGCACATTTTTGTACACATGCGTTACGAATGATCCCTACCAGCGACATGGGAGAGGGGGAACCCTGGCTAC